GTATTATTTCTGATTCCCAAACTTTTGCACACACCTATGACCTTATAAAACAATTATAAGGCCATGATCTGTATCAGTCCTGTGCGTTGTAACTCTGGAATATTATGAGGAAATATGGGGAAACGGGATTTTAAATCACAACCCCAAAATCCAAAAATAACCTTTATCTGGTAATATCAACATGTTTTTCAAAAAAAAAAAAATACATGTACAGTACACGGAACAACAATTTCCGATTATAAGCCAGAACTGCACATTTATATTCCATGATTTAGGCGAGTAATTATCTTCCGCGCATGTAGATTAACATGTGTAAAATCACTATCTTGATTCTGTCCCGGCTTTTTGCCGGCGACCATGATGAGACCAAAGGGAAGAAACATGTACGGAATGTTATTGAGACGACATTGACGGAGACAATCACAATGAATTCGTTAAGAAAACGATGAATATCCATCCGTAATAGGTCCATGATATAACAGACCTCTCTCTCCAGAACCAAATATCAAAGTGAGCTGTCTGTGCATTTTGACTAGCACACCCAAATGAAAATATGTCATACAACGAGTCTGCAATGCTATGCACCTGAGAGAACCTAGCTTTTGTTTACACTTGACTATCCATCTATTGAAGTGGAGATCTGCATAAGCACCTGTACATAACTGGGCTCACAAAAGAACTAATTTGAATAAGATCCTCACATAGAGCAATGAAATACAAATTTCCAATGAGCATAACCGAAGAGATACTAATTCAATACCATAGTTCATGGCATCCTTTTGACAAAGTTTGATGGTAGATGGGGTGAAATCGACCCGACAAGGGGCTAATCAGGAGACTAGTCTGCAAGCCATTTTTGCCAATGACTTTCATAACAAATGTTATTTTGCGGTGAAATTTCATGGGCTTGATGAAAGGGTGACAATTTCGGGACAGGTTCTGACAGGTGGGGGGGGGGGGGGGGGGGGAGTGAGCACTAATTTGAGCGAAAATTTGAAAAATCGCACCCCCCCCCCTTGAGCGCCAGGGGAGGGGGCTCATCTCCCCCAAAAGGGAAAATTAACGTGTTTTTACATGTTTTTCCCCAGGGATGGGGGCCTGGGCCTCCCGCCCCTCTGGATCCGCCGCTGGGTTCCGAGACTAAACCATTCCAGCATCTTTCACTAAGCTACACAATGATCTTTCCCTCCATTTGACTTTGTCGATGACAATAAAGGGGTGTCTAACAGGGGTGTCAATATAAAGAACCTTTTGAACTTCGACATGATTAAGGCTATTGCTCTTAAAAAGAAAGCTAATCTTAAACTATACATGTTTCAAAACACGCCAAATACCAATAGATTAACAACGTCATGCATGCCAAAGAAACTTTGACAAAGGCTTTCCTATGCAGATTTCAGGTACACAACTCGGAATACCAACATAGGCCCGCATTCTGCTGTTGCTATCGTTCAAGTGAGTACACGCACTTGTTTCCTACTCTTGTTGCAGTTTTGAAATTGTAATTTGAATGTTATTTAGCTCCATTTTTAGATTGTTTAAATCATTATCATATATCATCTTATCGTAGGTATGTTGTATATCAAGCTATTTCTTGCCATCTTCCGTTTTCCTTATGTTTGAGCAGGTCTTTTCGTTTATGTTATGGACAGCTGTCACCATATTTTTTTCGGCACGACAAATTCAAGATTTAAGATACTAAAAAAGTTCATTTAGATCTATCCATGTTTCATTTAGAATAATTTATTGTGAAGAAAATATTCCAGTGTAATTGATGAACGCTAAGGCCAAATAAAAAAATAAAAAAAACATGTTTAGCGTCCTGCTTTTTTGAAAAATAGGAAGGAGGGCCTTTTTTTTTCTTCTTTCAAAATGGCCGCTCGGTACATTTTCCCTGACAGTCGGGCTATTTTTCAAGATGGCCGCCGACATTTCTTTTATTTTTTAAAATCAGAAATAGATCCATTTTAGAAGTGTTTTTCTTCTTTTTTTTCTTTGAAAAAAAAAAAAAAAAATTAAGAAAAAAAAGTAGGAGGCGGCCCCAAAAAGGAAGCGGACGGGGTCGCTAAAGTCTAAACATGTTTATTTTTTGCCGGCCAAAAAAAAAAGTTAAAATCAGCCCCAAATTCGCCAAAAATGTACTGGCAAACAGGGACGTGCCCCCCCCCCCCCCCAAAAAAAAAAAAAAAAAAAATTAGTGTGCACAACCCCCCCCCCCCCCCCAGCTATATTTAGCATGGCGGCCATCTTGGAAAACTCGTTATTGTTGTTATTTGGCCTAATATCTTGTTAATATTTGCTAATTACAACACAAAAGAAAGCAATCTGAACTGAACTGAGCTTATAACAACTTATGGTTGACACATTCTTTCGGCGCCATTATCCTCCGGGCTTTATTTCATCAAAGAATTAGGGAAAGGATCGTGATTGTTTTTATCATATTTATGGTGGGTTTTTATGGTTAGGTCCAGGGATGAAAATGAGAATTCGTTGAGTTAAGAAATTAAGCATTTAACGTCGAAGCACGAGTCGTAGAACTCAGTTTGATGCTCCTTCAAATTTCATACCAAGTGCTGAAATCAGATGTGGTAAGGTTGAATGGTCTGAAAATGTCACAATTTTCTTATTTTTTGGTCCTCTTCCCTTATTATCCAAAATATTTTTTTTTCAAGAGCTCATGCAAAGCCCCAAACATATTGCTTTAATATTGTAAAAATAGAAGCTTAGCAAAAATTTCACAAATAATTGAGTCATGAAGGTCAAGACCTATATCGTGTGAGAGGGAGGGGTGATCCTAATATTCCAGATCTTAATTAAGACAGACATTCGGGTTCGGCTTCTGCAGTTACTATTAAAACCTCATTTTTCATCGCTTAACTTATTTCACAGCTGAGTTTTTACAGCCTTTTATCATATTCCAAATTCATCAGAAATTGAAAACTGAATAATTCTAGAAAATTGTCATTAAAAAACAAGTCACGTTCCCTCTTTATCATCTGTTATTCATTTTTATGATTTGAATTTTTCTTTTAATACGTCGTATTTCTGAAATTAAAATGAGAAGATCGATTTGTATAGATACACAAAGTAAGTCTCGAGTAGAAATGAAAAGACAAAGTGTAACACACATCCGTATTGCAAATGAAAGAGTGCCGAACTTGATTGACCTTTTGACGAACTTGATTTGACTTTGACAAATTCTATATGGACTAAGTTCGAAAATGAATGACCAAAGACGAATTGACTATGAGATGTGCAAGATCACGAATTTGGGGGGATATAGGCCCTACTTTGAATTAACATATATACATGAAGTATCAGTTCCCTATCAACCAGAAAGCAATAAAGATTCATGACTCAAGTTTTATTGTCCAAAATTATATATAATACAGATTATTTTTCAATTGGTGTTACATGTCATAGGCCTGTGATAAATATTATACAGAACATGATGGTGTCGTGTACTGAGAGCCAGAAGGGCGTTAACACAAAGAATAGCAGCAAATATAATATAAACTTTCATATAATAACCCAAATGCAAATTAATTTCATAACTTGCACAAGGACCCAGAAACATCCCAACAAATACTTTAAATCATTGGAAAGAGTTTTGTACCCAATTAAATGAGTCCGGAGTGTTCTTTATATCTCTAATACATGTTATTGGTTATTCTTTTCTTTTTCCTATACAGGTCTATTCGCCAGTCTTTTTCTCATACTTATGTAAGTACATGTATATACATCATTTTTTTATGAATATAATATAAAAACAATATAAACAAGATAATGTGCTATTTGCAAAATCACACATTTTGGCAAAAAAATTACAAAACAAGCCTAATTTTACAGTAGGCTTGCATGCTAAGCCTTATTTTAGGTTATTATTAAAAATGTAATGACTTGTGTAGAATGGTTCCCTAAGAAAAGAGGAGTGTTATGCACCCACCCCCTCAGGAAACACTCGTCACACCTAAAACTAAAATCCCAACGAGAATAACAAGTTCATACTTCATCATTTGCCAGCACATTTAAATTTAAATATATTTGGGATATCAAATAGGTACTATGTCCCATTTGCAGGCCAAAAATATGAAAAGGTTGAATTCCAACGGCATTTGAAAGATGATAGTAATTTAGAACTCACCTAAAACAAAAGGGCTTGAAAATGTATTTTTGTTGGAAAATAAGGACCGTTAGTTGTCGAATCAAATTTAATGATCGCGGTCGTTTAATTAAATAGTCCGATTTTCAGACCCTTGTACCGAATGGTCGTACGTTTTGTGCTGCGCAAAGATTCAATCAGTTTAATTTTGGCCGTTACAAGAAGTGGGTTATTGATGTAGACAAATGCTCATGTACCCTTTAGAGCTCATTTTATGTATGTTATTACCATGCAAAGAAAAGAAAAGAAAAGAAAAGAAAAGAAGTCAGTCAGTCACTCACTGCACAGTGAAGTACGTCTAAAAAGTAGACAGGGTTCCTATTGCATAATTTGAATACTAGGGCTAATGTTTAAATTTCACAGACATAATTATGTGACATATTCATAATTCCTGCAAAGTTCTACAGAATTAGATATTGGCTGCAAAAGGGATAAACTTCCTTTAATGTTATTGTATCATCCCCCCGCAGGGGCGGATCTAGCTTTTTGCTAAGGGGGGGGGTTGACCAAAATAATGACGATGCGGAGCATCGTCCACGAGCCGCAAAGCGGCGAGCCGATTTTTTGGGGGGTGTTTATTTGAACCCCGTAAGTGATGTTTTCCTGGCATCTATTAACACAATGGAGACCATAAAAAGCAGTGCATGATAACGTCTTTTTAAATCAAGTAACAGTTTAATACAGTTATATCCAGAGTTATCATGTGTTTGGTTAAGTTACCAGATGAGTTGAATATCTTCTCACAATATTTGCACTTGAAAGGGTTTCTCTCCAGCGTGCGTTCTTTTTTCTTTCTTTTTTTCTTCCTTTTTTCCCCTTTTTTTTGGGGGGGGGGGCGCCCAAGGGGGGGGGGGGGTTTAAACCCCCTAAACCCCCCGTAGATCCGCGCCTGCCCCGGCTTCCCATACCTCCTGACATAAAGCCGGGCTTTCAGGCTGGGTAGACAAGGCAATATACAATGATAAAACAATGTGTGAAAAAGACAGATTTTCCATAAAGTTCAAATGATTCAAATTGTCGTTCGTTTTGATTTATCAATTACCATCGACTCTATTTTTTCTTGACCTTAACAGCCTTCATCATGAATGTGATCGACCCTGACGTTGGGCCATGGGCCAGAGTTAGGCACCAGTGTTTATGCCGCACACAGGGAGGTTTTGGACCCCGATGCAAGAGGGACACGCGACACCTTTCGCGCATCTGTTGGCAGCACCGCTTAAATTACACAGAGGAGGAGTGAGTACTCTTATTGAATTTTCTTTGATCAAGATGCGTTAATGCTGTATACCACACTTCTGTATTATATTGTAATTGAGTAAAATTAAATTGAAAGGACTGAACTGGTTTATTAACAACTTTCCATCATGGGCAAATGCCGAATTTTGAAATCTTCTACAGGGTAAAAATTAAAAGAAGACAACAAATATAAGTATATTTAGACTTCGGTGAAAAGCGCTTTATAATTAAGCTTCGTTTTATTATTGTTATTATCATAAGTACACACAAACAAAAATCTTAAAACAAAATAATTAAACAATACAGATATTTAACCAGAAATATGGGTAGTTAGGTAAATGATAATATTACAAAATTATTATTTTCATTATGTATAGATCGAGCGCTACTTTCAATCCAACTAAATTACGTTAGGCCTACTGTAGGCTTAAAGAAAAATATTGATGCTTAAAAGGCACAATCTGTACAGGAAAATACATCCTTGACCAAATCAATTCGGCCATTAAAAAAAAACAGATGTATTGCCCTTTGGGACCAGCCCAAAAATTTGAAATATACGGTCGGCTTTAAAAAAAAAAAAAAAAAAAAAAAAAAAAAGTCACCGTTTTAAAATATTTTTAAATGAATAAAAAAATATGTTTTTTGTTTGTTTAAATGGGATATAAATGCATAAAATTATCAAATTATTCGCGAATTGTAACTCGTCTTCTACCCTAGTTTCAAAATCCTGCTATAGCGTAAATTACATGCAAGTAGACCCCGGCCTCGTGCACCAGCTAGAAACCAGGGATATTTGGGCGGCGTTCACGGTTTTTATTTTTTAGTGGGCGACGGTCGCTGTTTAGAGTTTTCTACAGAAAGGCTCACAACACTTTATTCATGACACATTAAAGGACAATAAAACATTTTTTTTAGGCTGAATATATTGTACACAATAACATAACAGGCTTTAAAATAAGATCAAATGTAAAGATACATAATGGATTCATAAGTTTTGGCAGTGACAGTTTTGAAGAATTTTGTCTCCGAGTGAAACCCCATTCATATCTACTAATTATACCAAACATCATTAAGATAAGAAAGTAATCAACTTTGTAATGAAACCACACTAGTCCATTATTTTCAGTCAAACTTTTGGTTTAAACTTCTTTATACAGGTTTTTACTTTTATTGCTTATAGCTTTTTAAAGTAAATATCCAAAAGAAAAGTTGAAACAGAGTCAGAAAATAAACTCATCCATTTTACTGTTTGATAGTATTATCTTTCTCGTTAGCATCAATATTAAAAATTTAAATAGAGTTTCTGAAAAATCCCAGACCTTTCAAAATGTATTCATTAAAAAAAACGGGGGAAATATTTATTGCTAAAACATTACATTACTTTCTTTCATAATAGTGTTTATTTTTGTATAGTGCTCACATCTGTAAGACTTGAAACTCCTGGCACTCTGCAATTATTACCCGGCTTTAACATGGCTGCCATTACGGCGCTCTAGCATTTCAAGCAATTAATTCCTATCAGGTACCAATTTACATCACCTGGGCCGAGTGTGGCAAATGTAGATTAATGTCTTGCCCAAGAACATTAGTGCTGCAGTGGGACTCAAACCGCGGACCTTGTGATCCACGGTCCGGTGATGTATACACTCGACCACGACACTTCTCATAAATTATGAAAGTCTTATAGTTTTTTCTGCAATGACCTCCCGTTGAACTTATAACTATATTGCATATGTTGAAAAATAATCCCACCATCTTGAAAAGATGATTTTGGTAAAATCAGAGAGATATACATTGGTTGGTTCAGGTGATTGTCTATAACTACACACACACACACACACAGACACACACATACAAACACATGCAAATATATATATCTTTATAAAAGTGCGAGAATTCTCAACTCTGACATGACAACGGGTGTTCCAGAATATGTAGGCGTGAAGAAAATGGTCTAGGAACGTGAGACGTAGCTGTACTTTACAAGTAATACACTCGTAAGTACAGCTACGTCTCAGTTCCTAGACCATTTTCTTCACGCCTATATAATCTTTATATATACAACTGAGGATGATGCTTCAATAGTGGTCAAGTAAATCATTCCACACATTGGCAGGATCATTACTGTAGCAAGTCGACTATCACCTGATCTAGTTTCTTTCTGTATATTCATAAGGTTTAATATAAGGTTCATATTTACTGTCAATTTAAGAATGAAGATTGGTGGTATTTACATTGCATATGAACATGTATATGGATACACATATAAACATATAAATTAATTCATAACAAAAGACAGATTTAATAAAATAATTTTGAGTTGACAGAAAACAAAAACAAAAACAATGAAACATAGATGTAGTTATGCATCAAAAATATCGTACATGTATACAGAGAGAGGTGTATACAGCTATCAATAATGTCTTGTGTTATTATAATGGTTATTAATATCATTATTGTTATTATCATCATCATTATCCACTACATTCAACATCAAGTTTTTATCACGTCCATTGGTAACTATCACACCATGTATACATATTTGTGTTAACTCTGTATGATTGTACTCACAATGCTGCTTGCAATACGGCAAGACGAAGCATCTAGTCCCATCATAGATTGGAAGAGTAAAATATAAATTTAGTTCTTATTACAGTTCATATAATAAGATGGCAAAGAACATGGACAAATGATGCACCTTGATTACAAAATACATTCATTCCATACAAATAACTAGCACCCCATTTTATAAGTATTCAATCAAAGATAATAGATATCGGTTCTATACAGCCCATGTGAATATATATACAAATGATACAATATGATCTTTGGAAAAGTCTTACATGTTCAATAACTTATTGCATTTTGAAATTACTTTTTAGTCTTATCATTTTACTGAACATATTACTAAGATGATTTCAGAAGTTGTTACTTTTAGTCACTGATAGCATGTACATTAGCATTTTACATATATATTTTATCTTCTTCATACCAGAATAGAAGTGTTAATTAGAATGCGGCCTATCAGATGCCAAGCGATGACACTCAGAGGCCATCAATGCTCACGAGATGGCAGAAGACGCCATGTCTTAATGTACTGCACACAACACTGTAAGTACAATCATACAGGGTTAACAAAATTACAATTTGTTTTCATGAAGTGGGTTAAGCTATCATGAACTTACAAATTCAAAACTTGTTAGATGTAAGCTGTAATTAGCTTTTTATTACAGGACATCTTATTGATTAAAAATGCCAAGTAGCATGCAGTTGTGAACAACGAAATGGTCATAAACATTTCACATCTTCAAGGGCATCATTGTTTTTCCGGCTTCTATCACTTTAGTTCTTTAGCAGCAAACTTTTCTTTGAACAATAACCGCAAGTTCTATACCTTCTATCTAATTGAACATTATGAGGACACGTGGATGTATATAAAATGGATTACCAAACAGATATTATACATTTCAACCATAAATACCATTACCATGTTCATTACCAGTATTGGGTATGATGAAAGTATTGTATGGCAAAGTTGTTTCAACTATTTTCTAATGCAGAAACCTACCTCAAAGAGACACAGTGATTATGGGGTCATTATGGCCTTGCCTGTCCTTTTCTTTCCTCAGTTAGAACTCACATATACTGTGTAATTAAAGTCTCACCATGCATGTGATGAAGCAGAGCCAATGCATCTATATCCAGACTCCATCTTCTCTACTGTTAAGGTTGAAAGGTATCATACCAAAAGGGTTCAAATAGAATAAATCCTCCTGGAATCCTTCATACAAAGCTGACCTGATTGAAGAAAAAAAAATCAGAATGATTTACGTAGTGAAAGCATTCAAACAATTGCACAAATAATAAGAAACTGATCTCCTATCAGTGATTTTGTTGTGATGGAGACAGCTACTTACAAAGCCCCATTGTTAACAAATTTATAACACTGTATTATGAGAACGAACCAAAAGAAAATCTACAAAATACTTTTCTGATATTGGAGAACCATTTTATATACATGCATGTTATGAGTAATATTTTTCTACAACTTTTACAGCATTAGATGTGTAATTTTAGGTTTATAATAAAACGTAGGGTTTTTTTTATACATTACTTTTGAATTGATATACATGGGCCTAGTCAAATAATCACCAATAGCCATAATTATTTCCTATCCATAACTAATAATCAAATCCATATTTGTTGTAAATGTATTTAGTTTAGCTAAGTGTAACTTTGAGATTATTTTGTTTTATCATGTCACCCTTCACTGTAATGTGCTCCTATGGTAATAATAAAAAATGACACAGCAATTGATATGAAGTTCTAACCTGCTAACATGTGGACTATCTAATCTTAAAGGACAATCAAACCTTGGTGTTTATAATCAGTTAACTCTTGTGAAAGCTTGACAATAAAAAAATTAAATTGGCAAATTGGGTAAATTATCAGAAAGCTATGAATGTTTTTTTCCATGCAAATCTCAAATTGGCAATTTAGCGAGTGGATTGTGATATATTCGTGACCGACTCTCCTAACTGTTATACTTTTTGAAAAATAAGCATTTTAGTAATTTGTTGTGCTGGAACAAACAGAAGAGTTGTCTGGCACTACAACATAATGACATTATCGATTCAACCAATTTTAAATTTCCACGATTACAATATTAACAAATTGACAACTTTGTTATTGTATTATCCAATTTTATTCAAAATTTCAACAATCTGTTTCTCTGATTTTTCAAAGATAGGTTGAGGGTTCGAACCCCAGCCTGGCACTAACGTCATTTGGGAAGACATTAATGTACATTTGGCAGTCTCTACCCAAGTGTAAAAGAGAAGCTAGCAATTGCGGTTATGAATATGAGCAGTATTGACTTTGATATGGGCACACTGGGTAAAAAGGACCCAATTAGTAGTATTCTATTTATTTTTATATACAGTGTGAGCCCACATTTTTTTTACAGGAGGCATTGTTTGCGAGAGTGCAAAAATTGACTTGCGCCAAAGTTGCTTATGTGATGTTTGAATAAAATAATTGGGATTTCGGTATTAATTCGGTCTTTGCAGATCCAAATAACATCCTTAACAAAATTAATCATGCCACACATATCAAATATCGAATATCAACGAACATGTGTGCACACCTGTGTGTGTGTGACTTTGCTTCTGCAAAAAGCATATGCAATGCATTTCATTCGATACATTCAATTCATTCTCTCACTCCGCTAATAACTCCGCATAATACATACTGTAGGCATCACTTTGGCGCAAGTCGATTTTTGCTCTCTCGCAAACAATGCCACCTATTCATCCAAGCGTGAACACATACCACACAAAAATGATACCAAATGATTTGGGATAAAACTCTCTTTCATAAGATGTAGAATAGGTTACTGTTCATAAATAATTTTAAAAATAATAAGCAATTTTCTAGGTGTAAACTTTTTTGGGACTCACACGGTATATTGGTAGGCCATTAAATATATTATAATTCAGACTTGATTGCCTTCTAACAAACTATTACATTCACCTAGTACAAGTTAAACAAACTAGTCAAACAATTTGGCTTGCCTGACCAAGGAACTTTATGTACGCAATCAACATTAGGCTATTGAAATACAATATTGATCATTATCTTGATGGAAGTAATAAGTTCTTACTAGTCATTTGGCAAAGAGGTATACTTTAAATGTGATTGCATTAGGAAAGTGGCATGTGGAAAGTGAAAACAGGGGAATCTATAATTGTGTGTGAAATGATGTACATGTATTTAGGTGCAGGGTGTCTGACCTCTTAGACTCCATTAAACATGACATTCACACAGACAGTAAAACAATGAAAAGAATCATGCAAAATCAACCATGTCTGATCAGTGTTTTAGTGACTTAGTGACTATACAGCATAAACCAAATGGCCATATAAAGGAACACATGCGCATGAATATTCATCTCACCATATTCAAGTATTTGTAACAGCTTGGGTCCTATTCAAACGCATCTTGGCATTAATTATAAAATAGGGATCAAACCTAAAGAATATCCAGCAAAACCCAGGAGTGGAGCCCTGGATTCAAATACCGAAGTCAGTGGTATATGGTCTGTACTATTCCACAGGAGAGTATTTATATCATAACACAAGACCATGGATTATATTTTGTTTACCTTATATTTTGTTACCTCATTGTTTAATTTGAATAACATATTGTAAGGACTACTGTTATTTAAAAGTGAGGATTACCACAAAATTCTATTAGCTGCCTCAAATACATTACTATGTGAAATTGCTTCTAGTAAGAGAGTTAACTTATGTTTTCCCTTATGTTCTTTGTTTCACAGATAACATTCATGCCGGCCCGGAGGTTATGTCCGATTCCGATGAATTCTAGCCTGGACCGGTAAGTTAACTCGATCAACATTCTGAAAAATAGAGATGTGAAACCATTAGAAATGGTATGTTGAGATAGACAGACGCGGATCCAAGGGGGCCTTGCCTCCCTGCCCCCCCCCCTATCAAAAAAATAAAAGAGAATTAAGGAAAGGGAAAGAAAAAAAGGAAAAGAGAAGATAAAGGGAAGGAAAAAAAGAGGAAGAAGAAAAGACAAGAGGGATATCAGTTGCAATATTCCCGCCAACAAGTTGTGGATTGGGGGGCGAAAAGGCCCTTGCCTCCCCCCGCCTCCGCCAAAAAAAAAGAGAGAAGGAAGGGAAAGGGAAGGGGAGAGTTAAAAGGGACCAAAAAATTCAAAGATGGTTTATTTCTAATTCGATAACGGTGATTTACAAATGTTACTGAAATGACATAATTTTCCAAGAATTTTCCTCACTTTTTAGTAAATTTTACTTTTGTGTGCGTTTGTTGAAAAGTGACAAATTACAAAATTTACAGTCAGGCAAGAAATATGCTTATTAAGAGGCCTACATGTCAGGGCCTGTGAAACGGTGGGGAATCGCCCCCCCCCCCCCCCACACTTTTTTGGAAAAAGTATATTGAAGAGAAATGATGGAAAGAAAGAAAGAATAGTGACCTGCCAGTGTCACAAAATAATGGGGTATCAAAATATGCTTATCTGACCGTGATTAAATGCTTAAAACCCCTGAGCTTCCGGGGGCTATGCCCCCTGTGTTCCACCCTAAGGCGGGCCCTGGCTGCTCATCTGACGATAATTTAATGCCTAAAACCCTTGAGCTTCTGGGGGCTCTGCCCCCTGGACCCCATGCCAATTATTGACCTGCCAGTGTCACAAATAAGGTATCAAAATATGCTCATCTGACCGTAATTAAATGCCCATACCCCGAGCTTCCGGGGGCTCCGCCCCTAGACCCCACGCCAATTTACGCTATGCTCTACCTGGTCGTAAATACTTTAGCCTCCCCCACCCACTTTGAAAAATATTCAGCAGGGCCTGCATGTAAGAGTGGGGTGATGCGGTCTGCCCCCAACCGTTTTTGCTTATTACACCACTGCTGGTCACCATTACGTACCAATATTTGGCTCGCATAATTTCAAATTCGCCCCCCCCCCCCCCCCCCCCCCCCCCCCCCCCCCCCCATTTAAGAAACCCTGGATCCGCGCCTGGACATAGATATCTATGAGTACTGCTTTGATCATGCTGACAACTATGACTATATCACCTCTTTTTTCCTAAACCACAATTTCATCTTTATTGTTCAAAAAACTTTCAGCAATTTTTTTAAAGTCAATGTAATGCTACAGTCACAAATGTTTGTACGAACGATAATTTTGTACGAATCTCCGTTTTTCCATTTTCTTCCCGAATTTCCATTGTCTGAAAATCGTTCGCACGGCGTTCGTAGCAGTTCGTAATTTGTGACCGAGGCTTTAGACAAACACTCGTAGAACAGTTTCTTATCTGAGATTCAAGAGGCACAATTCCAAAATGTTCCTACATGCACATATATTTTGTTTGAAAATTTAAAAGGTGGACACAATTCGAGGGTATGTGTACTATGCCATTTAGTTTTCAAATGGGAGCACAGGCTGGTTGTGCCACCTTATACATTCATTTGCATATGAATGCAAGATGATATGGTTTTTATTTGAATGATTTGTTATATTCTCCTACAGGTAAACATAAAAAAAGAGCAAGACAAGGACATCATCTAACAACACCCGCCTCTCAACTATCTCCCCTATACCGTCATCATCTTCCAACCAGTTCCCCACACATCTTCAAACCAGTTCTGCCATCTTCACACCAGTTCCCTCAACATCTTCACACCAGTTCTGCCATCTTCACACCAGTTTAACAGGTATTCCAACATTCTTCAAAGCCAATACTGCCATTTATATCCATATTCTATTAACTTATTTATTTCCACCTTGTCACACTCAATTATCATTGTATTTCCTGTACCTTGTCTTGCTCTTTTTTTATGTGAATGTTAAAGTGTTGCTTCCCATGGCAAGAGGTTCACTATTGACAAAGTCTATATTTGCGTGGTTACATAGAACCACAAATGTTTCTAATCAGAATGTGCAATATGTCCTATGTTGACTATTTTGACTTTACATAATATACAATGCCAATCCTTATTGAACAAACATACATTACATCCATTCATCATTATACAATCATATATATATATGTACATTATGTGGCTTCCTAATGCCAAAATGCCACATAATTTCTTTTCCTTATGCCAAAATGCCACATAATTTCCTTTCCTTATGCCAAAATGCCACATAATTTCCTTTCCTTATGCCAAAATGCCATATAATTTCCTTTCCTCATGCCAAAATGCCACATAATTTCTTTTCCTTATGCCAAAATGCCACATAATTTCCTTTCCTTATGCCAAAATGCCATATAATTTCCTTTCCTTATGCCAAAATGCCACATAATTTCTTTTCATTATTTCATAAACATACATTACATCCATCCATCATTATACAATCATAATCATATGTACATTATGTGGCTTCCTTATGCCAAAATGCCACATAATTTCCTTTCCTTTTGCCAAAATGCCACATAATTTCCTTTCCTTATGCCAAAATGCCACATAATTTCCTTTCCTTATGCCAAAATGCCACATAATTTCTTTTCCTTATGCCAAAATGCCACATAATTTCTTTTCCTTATGCCAAAATGCCACATAATTTCCTTTCCTTATGCCAAAATGCCACATAATTTCCTTTCCTTATGCCAAAATGCCACATAATTTCCTTTCCTTATGCCAAAATGCCACATAATTTCTTTTCCTTATGCCAAAATGCCACAAAATTTCCTTTCCTTATGCCAAAATGCCATATAATTTCCTTTCCTTATGCCAAAATGCCACATAATTTCTTTTCATTATTTCATAAACATACATTACATCCATCCATCATTATACAATCATAATCATATGTACATTATGTGGCTTCCTTATGCCAAAATGCCACATAATTTCTTTTCCTTTTGCCAAAATGCCACATAATTTCCTTTCCTTATGCCAAAATGCCACATAATTTCTTTTCCTTATGCCAAAATGCCACATAATTTCCTTTCCTTATGCCAAAATGCCACATAATTTCCTTTCCTTATGCCAAAATGCCACATAATTTCCTTTCCTTATGCCAAAATGCCACATAATTTCCTTTCCTTATGCCAAAATGCCACATAATTTCTTTTCCTTATGCCAAAATGCCACAAAATTTCCTTTCCTTATGCCAAAATGCCATATAATTTCCTTTCCTTATGCCAAAATGCCACATAATTTCTTTTCATTATTTCATAAACATACATTACATCCATCCATCATTATACAATCATAATCATATGTACATTATGTGGCTTCCTTATGCCAAAATGCCACAAAATTTCCTTTCCTTATGCCAAAATGCCATATAATTTCCTTTCCTTATGCCAAAATGCCACATAATTTCTTTTCATTATTTCATAAACATACATTACATCCATCCATCATTATACAATCATAATCATATGTACATTATGTGGCTTCCTTATGCCAAAATGCCACATAATTTCCTTTCCTTATGCCAAAATGCCACATAATTTCCTTTCCTTATGCCAAAATGCCACATAATTTCCTTTCCTTATGCCAAAATGCCACATAATTTCCTTTCCTTATGCCAAAATGCCACATAATTTCCTTTCCTTATGCCAAAATGCCACATAATTTCCTTTCCTTATGCCAAAATGCCACATAATTTCTTTTCCTTATGCCAAAATGCCACATAATTTCCTTTCCTTATGCCAAAATGCCACATAATTTCCTTTCCTTATGCCAAAATGCCACATAATTTCCTTTCCTTATGCCAAAATGCCACATAATTTCCTTTCCTTATGCCAAAATGCCACATAATTTCTTTTCCTTATGCCAAAATGCCACATAATTTCCTTTCCTTATGCCAAAATGCCATATAATTTCCTTTCCTTATGCCAAAATGCCACATAATTTCCTTTCCTTATGCCAAAATGCCACATAATTTCCTTTCCTTATGCCAAAATGCCACATAATTTCTTTTCCTTGTGCCAAAATGCCACATAATTTCCTTTCCTTATGCCAAAATGCCACATAATTTCCTTTCCTTATGCCAAAATGCCACATAATTTCCTTTCCTTATGCCAAAATGCCACATAATTTCCTTTCCTTATGCCAAAATGCCACATAATTTCCTTTCCTTATGCCAAAATGCCACATAATTTCTTTTCCTTATGCCAAAATGCCACATAATTTCCTTTCCTTATGCCAAAATGCCATATAATTTCCTTTCCTTATGCCAAAATGCCACATAATTTCTTTTCATTATTTCATAAACATACATTACATCCATCCATCATTATACAATCATAATCATATGTACATTATGTGGCTTCCTTATGCCAAAATGCCACATAATTTCTTTTCCTTTTGCCAAAATGCCACATAATTTCCTTTCCTTATGCCAAAATGCCACATAATTTCCTTTCCTTATGCCAAAATGCCACATAATTTCTTTTCCTTATGCCAAAATGCCACATAATTTCTTTTCCTTATGCCAAAATGCCACATAATTTCTTTTCATTATTGAACACACATTACATCCATTCATAATTACACAATCATATACATATTCACATTATGTGGCTTCATTAGGCCAAAATGCCACATAACATCTCTTTCTTATTTCATAAACATACATTACATCCATTCATCATTACAAAATCATACATATTCACATTAAGTGGCCTCCAATTTAGTTGTTTCTGGAGCCTCTTTAACTGGATAAGCCACTAATAAATCACACAATTTGTCTTTGTCGGATGTATCTATAGAGAAATAATTTCATGTAAATCGCCAGATAAACCTTGCATTGTGTCAGTTATAAAGACATTCACAGAGCAGCTCAAATTATGAAAAAACCCAATTGTACAGAAAGTGGTGTCGGAGCGAGAGAGTAAATAAATTATTAAACCCTGCTATAACATTTCCAGCAAGTGCGTCGTGCAAAAACACTAATTTGTATCTTTAAACAAAAATTATTGGCAACTATCAAGAAGTAGGTCGAATAGGAAAAAACACATATAAAAACTAAAGAGAAATAGCAGTATTCAGTGTGCACGATTCAGAATTACTCGACTGATTCTACCAGATCCATATTCTGCAGTTAGGAGGTTGAATTAAATATCATTCTTCAAGTTAGTTTTATGTATCCACGTAATTCATGCAATTGTCTAGGATCAATCTAATTAATCATGATTTTTTAAACTATTTACAGAGTGAGTATTGGGACATATTTTACTTAACATAAAAGATGCATTGATCAAAACCAAATACCATACTTTATATTGTCAGCCATGTCATTATCTTCCTCGGCCAATGTCATTCAATCTCCCTGGTAATAGCAAATTGCTTCTCTGATTTCTCACACTGACAAATATGCCTGTCAAAGCAATGAGAAATGGCCTGGAATGATTTCCTAAAAACACAAACTTTCTGATTTAAAAGAATAATTATTTTGAAGGGCAGGGGTAAAAAAGGGCAAAAAAGATGCAGAGATGGTAGACAAAATGGGAAAATGGGAAAAAAGGAGAAATGATACAACCCCAGACTACATCACTTCATGATGCATGTCGATCATCTACCCCATAAGTTTGGTACCCCCACCCCATGCCCAAAGTTCCCTTCATAGGTCTACTGTTACAATATCAAGTATGGTCATCTTCAGGGGTGCTTGTATGTCATGAAATTATCATATCAAGGAATAGATTTATTTCATGTAAGTCTGTTCAAATATCCCAAGTGACTGACAATTATATGTGAGTCATCTTCCAGAGTGTCTTTTCTGAGTTCTCAACAAGTCTTGATTCAACCAAGATCAAAATTGTGGCTCGATATTTCCCAATAATAATAATAATAATCTTTTAAAGTCCACTCCAAATATATGCTTCATGAAATAATTCTTAACATTGCACTTCTGTTTTAGTTCAGGGTATACAGTAGATAAAGATCAGCATATTATGAGGTCAAATAAAAACCAACAAAATGAATAAAACAAAATCATATTAGCATTGTGAAGCCCACAGTGTAAATAATGGCATTTTAGTTTGTTGTGCATAAAATGTCCTATTTAAAGAGACCAGCTCTTCAGCTCTGAAAATATCAGCTCTGTTCAAGTAGAGAACGTCTGCTGCTAATAATTACTCATCAATCATGAAATGCTTCTGAATGACAGAAGAAGAAAGTTGAATGTGGTGCTACGGGCAAGGAGGGAAAAATCTTTCTCACCTGAGAAATTGAGGAAAGAATACTTAACTGAATATGGAGTAAGCTTGCTCTCACAATCAGTGCGAGTACAGGCCATATTTAAATGCAACATGAAATAAAATAGTGGCAAAGGCTTTGCCCAGCCTGATGCCATTGTGCTTGAAATGCACTAATAGCAGGTAAAACCATTAAATCTGATGTAGACCTTTCCCTGTGTTTACTGGTACCTTAGTCTAACAAGTACTCCTATGGGACTAATTAAGGTTCTTGGCAGGTTTCACTGCATTAGCTCATCTCTACAGTTCAAGAGTGTATCGAGGTAGCATGACAACTTTACAACCTAAAAGATCCCCCCTCCCCCCCAAACAAAAAATAACACAAATAATTGGTTTTTTGTAGCATTACCAAGGAAATATATGTTCAAAGTCATCAGAAGTCACGATCATCACAAATGTCCCCACCCCTCCTCCTCCTGCCTATTCACATAGATGGGTGAGGTCCTCCTCTCCTGCAACAGAGTCATATGATATGGAGTCCAACTTGGACGTCTGCTTATCCATCCATTCACGTTTAGGGCAATACTTAGGTTTATTATTTCCATAGGTATTAAACAAAACCTGAACTGGCCTTTGGATTAAAACATAATCATATCAAAGGCTTTGCCTGGCCTGATGCCATTGTGGTTGAATTGCATTAATAACAAGTAAAACCACTACATCTGATTTAGACCTTTCCTAAGAGTCCCTGTGTTAACTGGTACCTTATAGTCCACCAAGTACTCCTATGGGACTAATTAAGATTCTTGGCAGGTTTCACTGAATGAGCTCACCTCTACAGTTCAATAGTGTATCTAGGTAGCATGCCAACTTTACAACTTAAAAGAAACTTCCCCCCTCCCCTCCTCCTCCTGCTTATTCACATAGATGGGTGAGGTCCTCCTCTCCTGCGACAGAGTCATATGATATGGAGTCCAACTTTGGACGTGTGCTTATCCATCCATTCACGTTTGGGGCAATGCTTAGGTTTATTTCCATAGGTATTAAACAAAACCTGAACTGGCCTTTGGATTAAAACATAATCATTTCAAAGGCTTTGCCTGGCCTGATGCCAGTGTGCTTGAATTGCATTAATAACAAGTAAAACCACTACATCTGATTTAGACCTTTCCTAAGAGTCCATGTGTGTACTAGTACCTTAGTCCACCAAGTACTCCTATGGGACTAATGAAGGTTCTTGGCATGTTTCACTGAATGAGCTCATCTCTACAGTTCAAAAGTGTATCTAGGTAGCATGCCAACATCACAACCTAAAAGAACCTCCCCCCTCCAAACAAAAAACAAAACAAATAAAGGGTTTGTTGTAGCAATACCAGATTGTCTGGTAAGGAAACATATTTCCAAAGCCATCAAAAGTCACGGTCATCACAAATATCCCCCACCCCTCCTCCTCCTGCTTATTCACATAGATGGGTGAGGTCCTCCTCTCCTGCAACAGAGTCATATGATATGGAGTCCAACTTGGACGTGTGCTTATCCATCCATTCACGTTTAGGGCAATACTTAAGTTTATTTCCATAGGTATTAAACAAAACCTGAACTGGCCTTTGGATCAAAACATAATCATATCAAAGGCTTTGCCTGGCCTGATGCCATTGTGCTTGAATTGCATTAATAACAAGTAAAACCACTACATCTGATTTAGACCTTTCCTAAGAGTCCCTGTGTTTACTGGTACCTTATAGTCCACCAAGTACTCCTATGGGACTAATTAAGATTCTTGGCAGGTTTCACTGAATGAGCTCACCTCTACAGTTCAATAGTGTATCTAGGTAGCATGCCAACTTTACAACTTAAAAGAAACTTCCCCCCTCCCCTCCTCCTCCTGCTTATTCACATAGATGGGTGAGGTCCTCCTCTCCTGCGACAGAGTCATATGATATGGAGTCCAACTTTGGACGTGTGCTTATCCATCCATTCACGTTTGGGGCAATGCTTAGGTTTATTTCCATAGGTATTAAACAAAACCTGAACTGGCCTTTGGATTAAAACATAATCATTTCAAAGGCTTTGCCTGGCCTGATGCCAGTGTGCTTGAATTGCATTAATAACAAGTAAAACCACTACATCTGATTTAGACCTTTCCTAAGAGTCCATGTGTGTACTGGTACCTTAGTCCACCAAGTACTCCTATGGGACTAATGAAGGTTCTTGGCATGTTTCACTGAATGAGCTCATCTCTACAGTTCAAAAGTGTATCTAGGTAGCATGCCAACATCACAACCTAAAAGAAACTCCCCCTCCAAACAAAAAACAAAACAAATAAAGGGTTTGTTGTAGCAATACCAGATTGTCTGGTAAGGAAACATATTTCCAAAGCCATCAAAAGTCACGGTCATCACAAATATCCCCCACCCCTCCTCCTCCTGCTTATTCACATAGATGGGTGAGGTCCTCCTCTCCTGCAACAGAGTCATATGATATGGAGTCCAACTTGGACGTGTGCTTATCCATCCATTCACGTTTAGGGCAATACTTAAGTTTATTTCCATAGGTATTAAACAAAACCTGAACTGGCCTTTGGATCAAAACATAATCATATCAAAGGCTTTGCCTGGCCTGATGCCATTGTGCTTGAATTGCATTAATAACAAGTAAAACCACTACATCTGATTTAGACCTTTCCTAAGAGTCCCTGTGTTTACTGGTACCTTATAGTCCACCAAGTACTCCTATGGGACTAATTAAGATTCTTGGCAGGTTTCACTGAATGAGCTCACCTCTACAGTTCAATAGTGTATCTAGGTAGCATGCCAACTTTACAACTTAAAAGAAACTTCCCCCCCCCCCCCCCCCCCCCCCCCCAAAAAAAAAAAAATAAATAAATAAAGAATATTAATATATAACAAAAGTGGTTTATTCTAGCAATACCAGGTTATCTGGTAAGGAAATATATGTTCAAAGCCATCAGAAGTCACGGTCATCAAGAATATCCCCCACCCCTCCTGATTATTCACATAGATGGGTGGGGTCCTCCTCTCCTGCAACAGAGACATATGATATGGAGTCCAACTTGGATGTGTGCTTATCCATCCATTCAGGTTTGGGGCAATACTTAGGATTATTTCCATAGGTAAACAAAAGCCTTTGGATTAAAACAAAATCATATCAAAGGCTTTGCCTGGCCTGATGCCATTGTGCTTGAATAGCATTAATAGCAGGTAAAACCAATATATCTGATTTAGACCTTTCCTAAGAGTACCTGTGTTTACTGGAACCATGCACTAGTTCTCCAAGGACCTTGACGTCAGTCTCAAAGCACCCTACGTAAGGAATATCACTCTCATTTGTAGAGACAAGTAAGAATGGGGTAGGGACCTTTTCCAGCACAAATCCCTGAGGCTCTAGATGTTCTCTGAAAAAAGTCTCTCCAACTGTGGTGACTTGAGAGCCTGGGTCCCATAAACAAGACACATTGTCATCCTTGAACTCGACATCTACCGCATAGCAGTCACCAACCGCCTTCGTCATGAAATCTTTACTTGTGCACTCAGAACTAGCATTGACACATGAGGTTCCCACCCTCATCTGTCGCTGGCTCTCCTGATGATCTAGTTGGGGTCTCTGTTGTTCCTGTTGGGACCGCTGTCTTTCCTGATGGAGCCTCTGTTGGTCCTGCTGAAACCTCTGTTGTTCATGCTGAAACCTCTGTTGTTCATGCTGAAACTTCTGTTGTTCCTGTTGGGACTTCTGTGGTTCCTGTTGGGACTTCTGTGGTTCCTGTTGGAAACTCTTTGGTTCCTGTTGGCCCCAATACTGATCTGGTTGACACCACTGCTGCCCTTGGCACTCTCTTGCAAAATGTCCATAAGCACCGCAAGAATAACATGGACCTCTCTGTCGCTTCATCGCATACGGAGCATGAGGACCATCTGTAGCGTTGGTGACTGAAGTTGGGGGTAGTACCTCTCTGACAGCCTTAACAACCATCTCTCCCATTTCCTTTATCGCGAGGAGCACATCTGATGAAGGAGTCTATTCCTCTATCTGCTTTGTCTGGAGGGCTGCCTGTCGGGCACCATCGTGGCAATGGACCCGGGGCATTTCTTGTCCTGATTTCCGTACGTCAAACTCCCTTAACTCACAGAAGTCCAAATTCTTATTGAATTCATATCTATCCCTGCTGGCGTTCCTCAGTACTTGGTCATCAAGACCTTTGATGAATTGTTCAATGAGGATTGCGTTAGGATCCGAGTAGAGCTAGGGCTCTCTCCTGCAGAGGCTGTTGAATCTCCTCTCAAGGTCCATGGCAAACTCTCGCAGAGGTTCCCCCCTCTTCTGCCTTCTTTCGAGAAAAATCTTTGTAATTCCCCCAGGTTGCGCAAACAGGCATAGGAATTCCGAAGGAATGTCAAAATCTCCTCCGCTGTCTTTCCTTCTTTCTGGAGGGATTGGACCTCTATCTTGGGAACGCCTCTAACAAATTCAAGGAGATAGGCTACCTTTTCGTCCTCTGCAATCCCACATCTGGCAAATGATCCCTTAATGCTAATGACAAAATCATCGACCTCCGCAGCTTTTCCATCAAAGATTGGGATTTTTCAGTTTGGTGGGCTGCCTCTCGGATAGCTCTTTAAACTGTCTCTTTAGTTCCGTCAAGTCCATGTTCTCCCTGTCACTATTCACTACAGGGGTGAAAGGGCTATATACAACCTGGTCCTTCCACCCACCAGGTGGTGCACGGATGTGCCCTTGACTTGCATTGGCCCTCTTTTTCCCACCATCATCCCCTGTATAAATCAGGCCATTTGCACGAAGATTGATCCCTTGTAATACTTCTAGCAACAGGTGTCCTTCCTTTTCTAAGGGATACGCCGATATATCCCCTGGGGAATTCAATTAATGAACGACATCTTCAAAATAGTGTAATAGAAATAGAAACTCTAAATCATGGGATCTTGAGGCAGCTCACTTGGTAAGGTGCCTATTTATTTATTGCTTATGCTATGCACTCTTGAAGCTTTACGGTATACAGAGCTTTGAAGGGCTTCTTTTGATATCAAGCAACACATATGGGACCTCATATTGGCCACCTCTGTTTCTGCATCCAAAACTGGCAGAGAAACTCAAATTGCTTTGGGTTAATTGCATCCTCCTACACAATTGTCAGCTTTCTTTGTGAAACAAAATTTTCTTTTAGACCAAGGTGCAGATGAACTCTTCATCATCAAGTGCTTTCATCTGCACTTCATTGTTCCATGGCCTTGGACAGGGAAACATCAGGCATTTATTTGTCTTTTCTACTTTGCTATATCTATTCGTACTTTCCAACTATTCTTTCTCTATCTTTTCCTATTTCCATATTCTATTTAAAGACCAAACAGTTACTTACCTCTTTTCAGAGATCCAGAAACATGATCTCATATTCTCCTTCTTGTTCTGGTTTTCAAGGTTGTCTCTTCCACAGTGTGATCCATGTGACGATGATGTAGAAAGAAGCCTTTGTTTGGAATCACTGACCTCTCTCTTGAAAGCTGTATGACACTTGAATTATGAAGACCCAGGCATCAGGTTCGACACTGGATAGATGAGAAGCAGGTTTCATGGAGTCAGTATGGTAAGACAGTCATGTACGGTAGATTCTTGCCTGTCCAAAATATATATATTTTTCTTTGCAGGAATATCGAAAATGGAAGGACTTGGAAGTGTGTAGAATACAATCCCAAAATTTCATGCAGTCTTTTCTTTACCATTTCGTCAACTTTTTGGGGATGGGGAGAGCCCAAAAATATTCAAATTGTATTCGACATACTTCCCTCAATGTAAGTATGCATAGATTTCTATACTCTTTCTTTGTTGGTTCATCTTTACTTCCTTTCCTTTCCATAATTTCCATCCCTAACCATATCATTCATGTCTTTAACACTGTTTCCTTGGGCCACTATATTGCAGTGTATGAAAGCATTGCAGTGTACCATATTGTAGTGTGTGAAAGTTGGAAAAGCATGTTGTTTGAACCGAGAGTTTTGAAAATTAATCAGAATTTATCAATTCTGTATAAAGATTATAGATTAGTGATAAGATTTACCATTTATTTATCTAATCCCTAATAAGAGCCATCCACAAACTTTAAAAGTCCAATATGCTTGAAGAAATAAGTAAGTTTATACCTGGTACAGACAACTGTATACCTGTCATCCCCAAGCAAAACAAGACATGCTTGAACAAGTGTTTAAACCATGTGACAATAGATCTAGATAGAAGGTATCTTGCTGTTTCAAAGTAAAATGAACAGCTATGAGAAAGGCTTACACATCTAAGGTCACTTACTAATGCAGTTTACCCTCATTGCATTATCAACTTTTAATTTGTATTTCCAACCACTCCATCACTGACTTGTGATTTTCTTTAAGGCTTTTTTAATGACATTAAAGTTACTCCAGCAACATCTCCCCAGCTAAGCATCAATCAAAAGAGAGTCTATTAGCAGTAGTAAGACTGTAAACTATGACCTCTGTCTATTGCAATTGAACTGAGAAAATGGCTCCTACTTTGTCTGTTTCTCTCAGGACAGGAGTTATGATGTACGGATGACAATTAGCATCTTGTACATTGAGTTTTCTGGGGTGAACAGGTATAACTGATTCACTAGCTTTTGTAGAAGCAGGCTCAAAGTAATATGAGGTTTGCAAGACATACTTCTATGATTGTGAGATTTATGAGATGTGTTCAGTATGAAAATGAAAATCCTCATTAAGTACAAGGCTTGGAAGACACATATGAACTTCAGCATGCAAACCTCATCTATTAAGATGTGGTCAGAATACAGATAAAACTGATTCTCTGGTTTTGTAGAAGTACCCCAAAGTATGAGGCTTGCAAAAACACCAATTGACGATTATTAACATGCAGACCTAATACAATGTGGTCAGTCTAAAGACAAAGCTGATTCTCTGGCTTTGTGGAATCAGTCCTCATAATTAAGTCTGAGGTCTGGAAGACACCTGATTGTCAAAAATATCATGACCTGTGTTCATTAAGCATGTCCAACTGAATCCCTGATACGGATGTGGCTGGAAGAATACCAATGATTACCAGCGTGCAGAATGAACACATTAAGATGTGGTCAGCAAAGAGATAAACCTCTTTCACAAGCTTTGTGTAAGTCTTCATTGGTTTTGACACCTGTGCACATCTAATGCACTTGATATAAGTGAATAGTATGCACATGAAGCAGAACTATACTGCAGCAGAATTTGGTATCCTACCAGGTACCCGACATTGCACTAATATCCTTTGGCAAGATATTAACCTGCACTTGCTACTCTCCACCCAGGTATTAAATGGGTTCCCGGTAGGATGCGATCGTCATTGTTGGTCAAACAGTTTTTGAGCGTCGTGTAACGCCCGGCTGGAATGCTCCCCAGGGAGTGGAGATTGTACACACATTGTGTGCGGGCAAGCACTGAATCCAATGACCGGGGTAATAGTATATTTGTAAAGCATTTAGAGATGTTTGTATTGAGCGCTATATACAAATTAAATATTATTATTATTATTATTATTCATTATTATTATTACTTACCTCACTAGCTGGTTTGAGTGTGGAAAATTTAGATTAATTTACCCTAAAAGCTTTATTCTACACAAAGACAGTGTTAAACTACCCAGCCTTCCTGACTGATTTAAGGCCTAGTTAATAGGAACTCCAAGAGGACCTCATCACACAAATTGGTGACCTACTGAATAAGCTAAGTTGGTAGAGTGTCTGCAAATCAAACAAAAAATATGGGTTCAAATCCAATCCAGATGGACTTGTTGAACTCAGGTGGATGATTGGGTGAAGCCTTTGTGTCTTAACACCCCTTCCCTTGTTCGTCGGACTTAGTCTACGTTACAGTGGAAACCACCTCATCTTTCAGGATAGAGTGCTTAAATGGGATGTTTAAATGTAGGCCATGTGTGTAGGAGAAGTCACCACCTGTGCATGTTGAAACCCACTGCACTCTTCATAAAAAAGCAGGGAAGTACCTGGTGTTGTGGCCATACACCAGCACATCACACCCAGTAAAATATTGGAAGAGACCTAAGGGTCACAGTGATTCGGTTCACTTTTCAGGTGATGCCAGATACTCAATAACATCATTCACTATTGAGAATGGTAGATCAAATCAGGCTATCATTTTACATCATTCGTTTTGGGTGATATAGTGTATTTTCCCATCCCCTTGAATTTTTTCTTTAAAAATGATTGAGCATCATTGAAGAGGTTCATTGATGGATAGAGGCCAAATTTTCTGATTACACATCAAATATATTTACCATTTACCTTATGGGACTTTTGTCTACAATAAAATGTATGCTTTATCAGACGAGGGGTAGTGATGGCTAGCGATAGCTGGGAGAATCGCAGTCCGGCCACAGTCCAAAATCACGGGAATGCACATAGAAGATAAACCTCTTCAATCATCTACGGGTTAATTGCCAGAACATTGATTAAAGTCAGAGGATGGGGTGTATAGAAATGACGAGACATCAAATCATCTTGTGTTCAACCTACTTCAATTCATCTGGAGACTAGTATGTAAAGAGAATGGATTTACTTCAGTCAGCCTGGATTAGAAGAATCTCATAAGGGAGAAGAAGGAGAGGATATAGCTAAGAAAGTGAGCATACACAGATATCAACACCAGGGATTTATCTTTTCTGAACATACTCAAGAAATCTTTTCAACTCATCACCAATGGAGTTATTCAATGAAGCACACAAATTTGTAGATTTATGCAGTCTCCCTTTAATGGAATGTAAGAGCAGATGAATCAAAAGTCTGCTCTCAGCAGCAACCTACATACAGAAACGGTAACCATGGAGGCAATGCAGAGAAGCTTCCAAGAAATTCAACATAGCCACTTCCATACTTCCTCTCTTCAAACTAAATGGATTACATCCCAAGGATGAGTGGTTGATCGATGAATCTGCAAGAGTTGATTATCGCATCTTCAAACGCTGCAAATGAGCATACTTTGCAGAAACCACTAAGAAGTTCAGGGTGAAAAAAAAGAAAGAATATCAACAGGTCAAGGAGAAGTATACGGGATGACCACCTCTCAGCAAGATTCAGGAAGGATCCCAACTTTTGTATTAAGGACACTTGCCATCAGCAACCATATTGACTGGAATAATCACAACATCAATTGAGAGAAAAGCAATATCTAGGAAAAAAGGATGACAGAGCAAGTCGCTGAAATAGAGAGGCCATATACAGAGAAAAAGAATCAGAACATGACTGGAATCAATATGGGCCAATACAAGTTATATTCTTTGTACATTCCCATTCTCTCCGACAGCTAGTCCGATTGTAATTCTTGCAGCTATAGCTTTCTGTTACTACCAGTCATCTGATGAACCATACCGTCTTTGTAGATAAAAGTTTCATTTCAGGAAAGAAATTTAAATGTGTAATCAGAAAATCAGAAACTTCTCTTAATAATGGAGCATATTGGAATCAATCTCTTCTTATCATTCTCTTGAAATGATAGAGCTTATTCATTTCATTCTCTAAGAATGATCAGGCCATTGCTCCATTTCATTCTCTAAGAATGACCAGGCCATTCCTCTAATTCATTCTCTAAGAATGACCAGGCCATTCCTCTATTTCATTCTCTAAGAATGACCAGGCCATTCCTCTAATTCATTCTCTAAGAATGACCAGGCCATCCCTCTATTTCATTCTCTAAGAATGACCAGGCCATTCCTCTAATTCATTCTCTAAGAATGACCAGGCCATCCCTCTATTTCATTCTCTAAGAATGATCAGGCCATTATTTTATATCATTCTTCAAGAATGATCAGGCCATCCTTTTATATCGTTCTTCAAGAATGACCAGGCCAACCTTTTATATCGTTCTAGGCTATATAAATATGATCAGACCATCCCTTTGTTTTATAGGTAGAGGGAGATGGGAGAGAGAGAGAAGATAGAGAGGAGATATATATATATATGTATATAAAGAGAGAGAGAGAGAGTAAGAGAGAGAAAGAGAGAAGAGTGATGAGAGAGAGAGAAAGCAAGACAGAGGAGAGAGAGAGAAGAGGGAAAATGAGGGAAAATAGAGAGGGGAGGGAGGTGATAGAAAGTGGGAGAGAAAGGGAGAGGGAGAGTGAAAAGAGAGAGAGAGAGTGTGTGAGAGAGAAATAGAGTGTGAGGGAGAGAAAGAGAGAGAGAGATAGAGATAAAGGCTAAGTGAGGGTTAGGGTTAGGGTTAGGGAGGGGTTGGGGAGAGGTTAGGGAGGGGGAGGCGAGTTCCTGACTTCAGGTAAGTACACATAGCTTCTATAATATTTAAAGGGATGGGAGCAAAATAAAATTTTCGCTAATTACAGGCACTACTAAAACATGACTTGCTTACCGTGTTGACTCTTAGAAACTTGTACCATCTATTCAGTACCTAACCTTTTGTTTGATGAGTCAGATTAATTCAGGTGCCATCCAGCTTCCAGGAGAGAAGTCAGTGAATTCACACAAAGGCTTAATTCTGCATCATCAGATCATGGATCATGCTTGGGAGGGACAACCTTG